TTGATTTTCCTATTTTTTTCACAGCAAAATAGAAATAAAGATGATTTTTTTATCTCTGATGGAAAAAAATCCTTTTGACGCATGGTTACCCCCTCTAGACTAAATATGAATGGCCCCTAAAACACGGAAACTAGCGAATATATTACATGCAAAAGAAAATATTTCAGTGAAAAACACTTTAATTTTAGTCCCTCAACAATTTTAAAGTTCCTCGCTAACCTAAGTAAAAATATTTAAAACAAAATTAGACAAGTTAAAATATAATGATGCCCATTTAAACTATATGGCAATGTTATTAGACCTGACATAAGAATAATCAATTCTTCTATCAGATTTACACAATATATAAGCATATTTGAAACTTTACAAGGCCAACTCTGCCCTCATTGTCATAAATAACACATTTCCATTTATTGTCACCCAAAAACAATGTCAATAACGCTGATTTTGCTTAACAATAAGATTGAAACTAAATAGCATATAATAAAACTATTATAGGGGATAGTATATCTTGTTTCGCTGATTCCTGATAGCAAGTTGTACACAGACATTCTGTCGCGCGTGATACAGCACTTGTGTGTGATTTAGTTTAGTGTGTTGTGTGATTGAGCGCGCTCATCAGTCGCATGCGCATTCGCGTAGTACTCCAACACGCGCCAGTTTCACGCGGTCTATCCTGCACTATTAGCCTTTTCACGGACACTCTTTCCGTTGTAATAAAAACGAACACGAGCAATCACGCGAGAAAGGACGTTAGTTTAATTAAATTGCCATTTTTCCATTTCCATGGGATCCTCTCATTAGATTCTGACTTCTTGGTGCCAATGGGACTTACGGACTCCTTTGTACATTTTAATTTTCTTTTCTGGTTGTCATGGTGGCGGTGATTTGTTGATTACACGTATTGTGTCAAGTAAAAAGTCGACTTTTAGTTGGGGAAAATAATTAGTAATTTGTGATAGCCGAAACGAACCCAGAACAGCATCAGGGACCACCTCGAGAGTATACCATTTGAAACAAAAGAAGGATTTTCAAAATCGGTCCGCAATTGACGAAGAAATTGGTGAATACACGGACATGCCTGTAAAATTTCAGGATTTCATTCGATTTTCATTCGGATCCCCTCATCAAATTCTGACTTGGTGACAATGGGACCACCACGAAAGTGCACCCTTTCAAACAAATCGCGATTGTTACACATAGGAAATGAAACTATTTTTCAGCATTTAAATCGCGTATATTTGTTTTTTCAAACAAAGCAACGTTTTGGGCCCTTTACAGGTCCCATTGGTTTGTTTGAAAAAACAAATATACGCGATTTAAATCCTGAAAAATAGTTTCATTTCCTAAAAAAAGAATTTTCAAAGTCGGTCCACAAATGACGAAGATATATGAAAACATACATCAAACATACAAATACAGCCGAACGTATAACTTCCTCCCTTTTTTAATAGAATGACTGTGAAAGAGGGCTAATAACTCAAGTTAGCTAAAATTGTCGGCTGTGTTAGTTATGATAAGGAGAGCAGAACTGACTTTATCATATTATTGTTTGTTTAGCAAAATTCAAAATATGATTAATCCACGAAATAAGCATGTACGTACAATAAGTTGCAAAAGTATACCACTTTAGCGAACAAGAGTAAACAGTTCTCCACAATCTGTGGTTGAAATTTAATGAGCCAATTTATTCAAGGAGTTCGCGGATTTTTTAAAATATTTTCCGTCAGTGCTGGAAAATTATTCCTTTTGCACCGGAATCGTGAAGGACCTTTGCAGCCAATTGTACCGTACATGGGGCGCATTTGCAATAGCGACACTACGCTTTACGAAAGAAAGTTTAAATTCTAATAACCATTCAAACGCCTCTCTCCATCCATGCAACATGTCCCCTAATTAGTCACGTGCGGTAAGAGGAACTTGATGCTTTAACTCATAATAATCTAAGGAGTTTAGCACTACAGTCTCTCAGTCGACAAAAAAATCCTTTAATCGATTTTATTGGATTTATACAGTTGTTGCTATTGCCAAATCAAAAAGGCAGCAAAAGCAAGTTTGGCAGTTGTGAAATCTTGGGAACACTTTAGAACTACATTACTTTTTTTAAATAAATACGATGGCTTTTCTTCTTACCTCATCTTTTGGGGGAAGAACAACGTTTGAACGATTTGCACGTTTTCGGCAAATACATAGTAAGTATTGAATTTAACGTAATGATTGTTAAAACATGTAAAGCTGATATACAATGGCAAGTTTAGTGTATTTCAAAATTCTTACTGCCCAGTTACCACGCCTTCATATACATTAATGGCGAATCTGAATTCTATTAACTAGGCAACAACATTCAAATTCCTCTGAATAATACAACCGCGCGGCCAGATTCAAACCATGCTCGCCCGCGTGCCCGGGAAGCATTTAAGTTAAAACGTAAAAGCTAAATAAATAGAACGTATTTTGCTATGACGGACGCACGCGGTCGCTGCGTGGCGGCTACGAGACCGCGCGGCCGCCGCGCGGGTTGACCGCGATTAAATTTGTGTGGAATAAATGCGCCCTTATAAGACTTTCTGTTCTTCCGAAATCTCAAAACATAAAGTATGATCCTCTTACCCCACCTGACCTTAAATTGTTATTTAGTCCAAATAACAAGTGAATATTTGTTAAATTAGAGGACGAGTTCACGCGTACGTAATACAGCCCTCAAATGTGAACAAAAAAAAAATTACCGCATTCTTACATCTGTGAATCATTCGACGTCGCACAATTCATTTATTATTTAAACTTAAATAGTGTCTAAGGTCCAAACCACATCACAATGTTGTTCCAAATATTCATAATTTTATAACCAAACTATCACATTTGTGGCGATGAGCCCACTCTTTGGCAGTAGAGTGTAGATATGAAAATAATTGTACTACTGTTCCTATGGGATTGTGCTTCCTATTTAGTGCTGTCGACTATTTCTTTTTGAGTTACCTGAAACAGAGAAAATTTGCTTTAATTTGTCAGAAAAGGAACGGTACATTATTGCAGTCCCCGGGAAGTATAGGAATACAGGACGAGTACCAGTTAGCTAGTGTTACACGTCTCAGACAATCCCCGTTTCCGTCGAGATATATATAGTGCTTTTCTCAAATAAAACGAGGAAATAATAAAAGACTAAAGAGTGAAGGAGTATGTGTAATATAAAAAGTTTTTTTATATTAAGTGGGATTTGCAAGAGATTTTTAACCTAAAAACCTAACCTATCCTAAAAAAATCTCACCCTGTACCGTGGCCGGCTCAAAAGTTCCCGATATACTGGCAGCATTGCCTCCCTGGACGGCAATGGACACTTGCTGAAGCAACCACGATCCAGAGCCGTGATCGCAGCCCCTGTCTATGAGTTTGCGACCCAACACTTTAAATAAGTCCCAAGCTTCCGAACTGCAAAATTTACTTGAACTAACTTTAGAACTTATTTTCGCGAAGACAATATAAAAAATTCAAAAATTTTAATAATAAAAAAGAACTTGAAGTATTTTCATTTATTTAACAGCTTTTTTAAACATATGGCGTAGATATATATATTCGTGCACCATAATTAAACAAAATAAGTAATACCATACACAATATTTTTTTAATTCTGGCAATTACGGACACTGCTGCTAGTGAGTAGTTACAGAAAGTAATATATTTCGGCATGGTGGGAATTTTTCTCTCTTTGAAAACATTGCATGCTTATACGATTGACCAAGTTTTGTTTGTTGTATTTATTAATTGAAGAGACTCATACATATTAGAATACAGAAACATGTTAGAACCCTTAATTATATTAAACTTTGTTTCTCTCTTGATTCCCTCTAACTCATAGGTTCCCAAACATTTTTTGGCTCAACGCCAATAATTTTTTTTATATCTTGAAAAAATATTCAACGCCAACCACCACCGCAAAAACTACATATTGGAAATACATTTTTTATATTAACTTAACAGAAAAAAAAAGAAAAAAAATGTAAGTGTACTTTATATAGATAATCCAGTAATTAATTTCAAATGTGGTAGCACCCCTGGACAGCATCAACAGTCAACACCCCCCAATAGCTTCCGACGCCGCTACTAGGACTCTTCCGCGCCTAATGGGGGGTTATATGGACCACTTCGGAAAACTGCTCTAGCTCCCTGTTCAAGCTCCAGCGGAAATAAGAAAACGTTTTAGGTGCTTTTATAATCATAACGTAAATATCAGCTAACAATGAAAATTTTGAATTTTTACAACTTACAATAGAATAAGTTCTAGCAATTTATATTGTTATAACAACTGACAAATAAAATAGGTTCTAACATACACAACATGAGGACGTAAGTATAGTTTATACTGAGGATATCCGTGCTTACGTTACTGTGACGGGACGAACCAGTCGTGCGCCCGATGGTAAGTTGCACTCCTGTCCATAATACTTGCAGTGCCACTCATAGCTTAAAATCGTAAAGATCTGAGGCCGACTGCGTCCGTCACTCTGAGACATAAGTTGACAAGTCTCATGTGCCTGTAATTTCACCATTTGATGCAAGGCTACAATTAACCTAAGCAAAGTACTAGGAGAGCAGAACTCACCAAGAGTACAACTCCTCGTCTCTCCACGTGTCTCAGTCAAGGTTCCCGCCGTTTCGCAGTCCCGCCTTCGTCTCTGGAGGCACTTGCTTCCTGAAGCAGTCGTCCAGGAACGACGACATGGTCCGGAAGAGGTGACGCTGCACGCCTTCTAAGCTGTGTCCCTCGTCTGGGTAGATCTAATGGAGTTTGATATTAATGTTAAAACTTCAGATTTTTTTTGTAATGCAGTGTTCTCACTCTAGCAGCAATAGTGGAACTAATAAAGGACATCATCAAGATCATCATTTTAGTCGAAAGACGTCCGCTGCTAGATATAGGCCTCCACCAAAGATCGCCACAACAACCAGTCTTGCGCTGCTTGCACTTAACGGGTTCCCGCGACCTTTACCAGTGGGTAGTCTACTTATAGTGCGTCTTTCGGTATACGGTCGCCTCTTGAGAGCTCTTTGTCCCCATCGATTATTCTATTCTGCGAATAATATCACAGATTACTAATAACACAGATTATTAGGTAACAGATACGTCACTCTCGTACAAAATCGAAATTACCTACGCTATAATAGCCTACTAAATCTGACTAATAACTAAAAGGAACCTAAGCAGGCGCTCAGAGATATGAGAACTTGCGCCGGCGCACTCAGCGGTAGGCACTTATAACATAACCTTGAGCGAGTGACGGAGCCCTCCCAATATGCCCATTAAGTTTTGCAATTCTTTGTGCTATGTCGGCGTCATAAAGATTGGTATAATAATTGGTAAATTTATGGAGTGTATAAACCACATTAAAAGGTTACCAATTAATTCAGAAATAGACTTAGTGAATGGCTTAGAGACAAAAATTATTACAAAGTGACTGATTTTTTAGATAAATGTTAACATGACATTTAATAGTTTGACATAGAAGGTCATTATTTTGTTGTTTCTAATTGACTAATTATTCTTTGTTGATTATTAGAAGTCGACATGAAATTATAAGGTATATGTATGTTTAATGTAATAATGATATATTATGATATTTAATAGTTTGACATTGGTAGTTTATTATTTTGTTGTTATTAATTGATTGATTATTCCTTGTACACGTCCAATGACAGTGCTACAATTAAATTAAATTGAAATAATAGTTCGTATGCCTAATCAGGTAAAACATGTGTTCTGTAATAGTTGTTCCATCTTTCACACCATGTTTTAAGCTGATAAAATTTAATTTAATTTCATTTCACGAAATCTTTGGAGAATCTCTGACGAGACTAACTGATACTTTGACTTCTCACCTGCTGTCGAAACATGCTACCCTGGTCAGCTAGCGACCTCGCGAGTGCCATGGTCTGCTGCACATGCACGTTGTCATCGGCCGTGCCGTGCACCAGCAATAGCATCTTGTCGTGCAACGCAGACGCCTGCTTCGTGACGTCAGCCTCTGCGTAGCCGCGGTAATTGTTTGTCGCATTTGGGAAACCCATGTAGCGCTCCGCGTAGGCCGAAGCTGTTTGAAAGTAGTTCGAAATTAGTTCCTTCAAGAAGATCATTTGTATAAACATCACGCATGTCTTTCAGGCTAAGTAGGTATTACAAGTCACCCTTTGTCGTTGTTCTAATTTCTTTCAAGATTCCTTTTGACCTTTTCGTGGAATTACCTTCATATTATGCTTAGTTAGTCATTATCTTGTGAGAGTATTATCGGAAACATCTAAACCGATCGAAATTGGAAAATTATATTTCCTAATTGGTGCAGGTCCAGAAACTTCATGTAGAACACAGTTGCGCGATTCTTTGGCATAGGCAGAAAACGGACACCCGTTTGCTGTGTATGCCAAAGAATCGCGTTCGTTTGATGCGTATGCTAAATAACTGCGGTCGTTTGTTGCATATGCCAAATAAACACTCACCATAATACCTCCAACGTACAATCGGCGTAAGCGCAATCCCGCAATGAAACACGTTCAGCGGACTGGCCAGAGCCAAAGCTGCCAGAAACCCTCCGTGAGCTCGGCCCCAGACGGCCACGCGGCGTGCGTCTATAAAGTGCAGAGAGTCTCGGAGATACCTAAACAAATGTAATTGTTATATAATACAATTCATTATCCATCCCGGTTCATATACAACGCATTGCATATAAGTATATCTGCGTACCTCAATAAACGCATGAAAATTACATTTTCTGGAATAGCTTTGAAGAATTCTCACATCAGAATCGGACAGGACTCTGGATGTTGTATACAAACTAAGTGAATCAAGCCAATGCAGGTGCTGTATGTCTCTATATAAAAACATAAATTATTCTTGACATATATTTTTGACAATTTCCAAGATTAAGACTGCATAATGTTGCTGTGGGTACGTTAAAATATTGTAATATTTATGTATATTTATTACATTTATGTAAGGATGCATAAATATGTTATTTATTTTATGCTAAAATTTAAGTGAATTTTGTTATGTTGGTTTTAATGCAGCATTTCTGAAGCTGAAATAAATAAAATCTTGAAAACTGTCCCCGTTAAAATCAATGGTCACCATATTTAACTTACTCGACAACTTCTAATTGGTCGGCCAACTCCACAGTGCCCAACCTCCGATGTAGTGCATGATGTGCTCCCAATCCCCTGCCGCCCGCCCCCCGCGCGTCCACTGACGCCAACACCGCCCCTGCCCCCGCGGCCAATGAGCCCCAGTCAAGAGACCATTCTTCTGTTACTAGCTGAGTGCCTGGTGCACCATGCCTGTTTAAAGGATTTATTTATTTATAAGTGCTTTACATGTGATGTCGTTACCTAAATACATATACTTCTACAATAACAAACACACACACCTTGGCATGCATCGAAAAACTGAAGGAAAAGACAGACTTTAATTATAGTTTAACCTGGAAATACTGCCGCCGTTAATTAAGACCTACTCGATGCCTTGGATAAATTACAGCGTCGTGCTACTCTAATTATAGGCGACGAAGAGGTCTCATCACGCCTTGAACCTCTGCAACTGCGTAGAGATGTTGCATCGCTTAGCGCCTTTTACCGCATGTAGCATGGTGAGTGCTCTGAAGAGCTGTTCAACCTCATCCCCCCTTCCCCGTTCCTGCTCAGAAGCACGCGTGCTGGCCTTCGTAGTCACCGTTTCACTACCTGCCGCATTCCATCGCGTACTAAAAGGTTCGGTGGCTCCTTTCTCTGCCGCACGGTTGACAAATGGAACTCCCTTCCGGCACATGTCTTCCCTCCCTCTTATAATATGGGGTCCTTCAAACGAGGCGTGAACAGGCATATTGTAGGGAGGCAGGGTGGAGGTGGCTAGTGCAGTGAGGGTTCCATCGCTGTACTAGGTTCCTACGCGTTTGGATACCACTTTCCACTTAACATCAGGTGGAGTGGAGTCATTTGCCTGTCATGTATAAAAAAAAAAAGACCGGCCACCTACAGTCGGCATTCCGTTTCGGAGTTTCGAAGGCAGCAAAACCATACAAATCACGGATTTATTTCCGATTTGAAATTCCTTATGGTGGCTTATGTATTTGGTATTCCTCACGGAAAAAACCATTGCGAATGCAAGTCTTCCCTACATTGCGGGGTCGTAAATTTCGTACGTATTTTCTCTGCGAGAACATCTGGTCTCAATATATCACGTCTCTCAACTGAGTCTTGTTATTCCGAACGGAAATAATAAACGTATGTAAGTGATGAATATATGGGATCTCGAATCGATATTCCGAAATGGAATTCCGCTGTATGAGGCAGGCCTAAAGGCAAAAATTGTAAAAGCTAAAAAGGGCACATGTGCCCTTTTAGGTTTTTACAAATCATTTGTTATGTATACTGCCGTGATCAGTAAAAAAAATGCCGATCTATCACTATTTTTATTTTTTCATAAGCGGGTCATTTTTTAAATTTCATTTCTTTATATGTATATTATTCCCGGCGCCTTCTCACAAGCGCCTTTTCAGCTAACGGCGACAGCATACTCGTCCACATCGCAATAACTCTTAGAAATTAATATTTTTTTTCAATGTGTTTATGAATTAAAAATAATAAATAATCTGGTAGTTTATTATAGATTTTTTTTAAATAAAAAAAATAAGTGCGCATTTGACCTCTATATGATTGACATAGAATGAGGTTCGGAACTACGTATCTTCAATTTAGAAGTTGTTTGTATATAAGGTCGTTTTTATTTCGAGGTCTTTATCATAAAATTAAGATACTTTTTTATAAATTTGCAAATGTTCAGTATGTATACATATAAACATACGTGTATACACTTGGCAATCTCGTATACTAGGTTTTTTAAAGTGCAGCTTACAACTTCCTACCTGCTTTACATTTCGCAAGAAACGTATACATTTTAATGTGCGGTTAACAAATCTTAGGCACTGATTCCCTAAAGTACTACGCCGTAGCTTAGCTACGCGTGGGCACAAGCGTAGCATGCAGTTACTGCTGTTGTTTTTAAGTTTGATCGTTTTTTAAATATAACATACGCACCATAAGATTACATGATTTTTTAGCATACGCCGAGTTAGGAACACCGCAAGCAAAATGACGAGTTAATGGCGGTCAGGTCAAGCCATTTTGCTGTTAACTTAGCCTTAAAAAGATACAGTGCCAATCATTAATATAAAAGACATGACCAGCATATTGTTAGGCATGTTGAACATAAACTTTCGACTTTTATTAGAAAGTACAGTCCACCCCAAATATATTTTTGTTATGCGATGATCAGTCACGGTGCTTTGTCCTTATTCTGAATGCGTAAATTGCACGCCCACTGAATTGCAAATTAGGGGATGAGAACATGAATGTACAGTCGGTAACACTAAATTCATATTTCTTTCTCTGTGTTAAGGGAGTCATTTATTTATTAAAGCGGCTTAAGCCGGCCGGAAAAAGCTTAACGCCCGTGCAAAATGAACGTAATAGGTTCTTTTATAATACCAAGTGACAGGACGAACAAGGCGTGTGACGAAGTAAGCGACACGCCTATCCATAACAGTTGCAGTGCCATTCTGAGCTTTAAAGATTTTATGGACACCGCCACTGTGCCTGTAATTTCACCAAAACCCTTACCCTTCTAAATGATGTTGGATGAATGTGAAGTGATTCAAATCGAGATAAATTATTCCTATAGCCATATAGTCGCCCAGTGCATATTATAATGAAAATATCGCATACAAATTTTGCGCTATGTACTGTGGGAGCGTAACTCACATGCCATATATACAGAAAAGTACGTTTTCATACAAATCTGGGGGTGTACATCCTTGAGTCTCAAGCAGTTACTACATTTTAATGCACATTGAGCGTTTAGCGCTTTTCCCATTGTAGTTTGCTGGATTTTAATATGAGAGAAAAAGACGTTGGGTGCTTTTTTAATAACGCACGTACTCATAGCCTCATAATAGAGAAACCCTGTGTCGCGGGGATCATGGACACGTAGACAACCACAAATTACACCCAAACTGACGAGAGAGCCGTAGAGCTCCTTGTGAAAGAGTTCATTGAGGGAATTGCTATTTTACTTATTTCTGCCGCCAAGCATTAATGTGAGCATTACTGCGTTTCGGTTCGAAAGGTAAGGGTGCTGGTGAAATTACCGGCACAGGGACTTGTCAACTTGTGTATCAGGTTGTCGGACACACTGGCAGTGCCCCTGAGATCCTTGTGATGTGTCGCTTAGTACCAGGCGCATGATTTGTTCGTCCCGTCACTTAGTATTATAAAGAAAATGAGAGAAATAAATGTAGGCCATACAAAAAAAAATTTTGTTGTAAATGTTGGACACTACACTACATACACTTATCACTTTATATATGTATCAAAATCATTTTTTAAGTATTCTATACATATAACTGAACACAACACACCACATTATAGAAATATTTATGTAATTTATTTAAGTTTACTCGTATATTCGCGACACACACGTCCGGTACTCACTCGGTTTTAGGGCCCACTGAAAATCAGCGTCACAGCCTTTCCTCGGTGGTGACAATAGCTGAGTGGGATCCTGTTACTTACGCCACAGCCGCGCACATGACACTTAGTCTAAATGTGTTAAATATTTCATGTTTGCTTTGTTGATGCGTATGATGTTATTTTAATACCTTTTTTTTTCCAGTTATTTTAATTTTAATTTTTTGTTTTAATGTAGCTTCATCTTTTTTTTTTGTTTTGTCTTCATTTTATTACTGTGTATATTTTTGTTGTGGCGTAGTAATAAATGACTTCTATTCTATTCTATTCTATTCTATTCTATTCTAAATATTTCTCTCGGCCCGAGAATCGAACCCGGGACCTCTGCGTGGCAGACCAGTAAGGTAACCGAACGCCACGGAGGCAGTAAATTTTTTTTATTAGTATATACATAGTTTTTTTCAGACCGGCTTATTCGGCAATTCGGTGTCGATAAGTGTGATGACTCCCTTAGAGCACGCTATTTTGAAATTTCGATGTTGAAGATAAAGTTTATTTGAATTTTTTTCGCTGATGCCGTTTTCAGAGCTCCTTTTCGAAATTAAATAATTTATTTGTAATATTTATTTGTATACGTTATGATTAATTGAAAAATACATTATAAAAATAAACTGAAACTCACACTTTCAACACCAAAGGATATTTAGTAACCTCGTCCTCTCTCAACCCAGGTGGCAGTAGCAGTCTTACTCTGGCAGCGTACCCACTGGACAGCTGTACTGAAAATGTTCGTGGTGTCGGCAAAGCTATTGCTGATAACCGCTCCTGTGTACAGAATTTATTAAGTTTTTTTTTTAATTTATACGTACAATGAGGCTCAATTCTAATGGCCGCGTGCATTCACGTAAAAGTTCGAGCTTCGTAGGGATGGTTTAGCATTCGTGAGAATTCTTACGACTGCGATTTGAGGCTATAGTAGGTGGTCAGTTTGTGGCCTGTATGTACATGTATCTCAGTTTTGTCATACTTGACTTGTTCGCGAGCCCTGATGATGTCCTTGTGGAGGTTTAGCACTTCTTGACGTATTAAGCAGTGAGTGTATGTTAATGTATGTGCACAAATAATTTTCCATACAATTTTATCTTTCTTTCTTATAAAACGCACATAAGAAATTTTGATATGTAAGCAAAATAAATTTACCAGAGGAATGCACGTCCCGTCGCTTCGGGAGTTTTGTAAGGAGTGATGACGTAACGAACTAACGTAAGAATGGTGAAAGGAAAAAGAATTCGACAAATATTCAAAATTTTAAAAGTAAATGGCAAAGAACTAGTAAAGAGGGTGATGAAAAGGTGGGATAATGATAAAGGAGGTCTGCATTGCCAAAAGTTGTTCAGTTTCGGTCTTTTGACGAGGGTGGATGGTACACTTGGATATTGTTATTATTTCGCTGATTTGTGAAGACAGAAAAAGAAGAGAAAAGGGAAAAAAGAGAAAAGGGTTGAACAGAAAAAAAAGTTCTTGGACAATATGAAACATTTTGCGGAAATCCGAAATTCGAAAAAGATAACTAATGTCGAGTTCTTAGGTTTTCGCGATTGTTACACATAGGAAATTAAAGGTCAACCGTGACCATGGGACCTGTAAAGGGCCCGAAACGTCGGTTTGTTTGAAAAAACAAATATACGCGATTTAAATCCGGAAAAATAGTTTCATTTCCTAAGATATTTGGTGGATTTAACTACACTATATCACTCCTTGTATCTCAATATGCATAATTTGTTTAATCATTTGGAACATCCCATTTCGACTACTGGTGACATGTTAACCAAATAAAACTACGGTGTTTTTTTTTGACAATAATTATTATTGTATTGTATAATAATGTATGTATGTAAACATTTTATTGTACGACACACACAAATTACAAATTTCTGGCTCCTGGTTCACGAATAAAACCTAATAAATCATTACATTGAATGCTACATACTCAATGATAAGAATAAATTTATTATATCAAATGTACACACGAATATATAATATTAAATAAATGATGATACACTAACACATATAAAATATAAAAAAAAAATAATGTATACAATAAGACTATAACTAAATATTTGAAATGTAAATAAATATTTTGTAAGCTCTAACATGAGGAGTCTGAATAATCCCAAGATTTCAAAAGGGCAACTCTGAAAGTCCGAACCGAAGGTGATGTCTGACCTGGACTGGGAGAAGGTTCTACATACGAGCAGGGTTCACTGTGAACGATTCCGAATACATTTGTGAACTGTGTTGTGGAATGACGAGGGACAAATTAGTACCGGAACGCAGGCGGTCACCCATAGCCTGACGGTATTGGAAACGCTCACGAAGATAACTAGGAGGAGGGGTGGAAATAGTTATTATATAAAAAAATTGCGGTGGCAGTTGAATAGCAGTTCGATGGCTGAATGACTGACAAACTTTTAGCAGATTACCAAACGTACAAAAAACTGCCATTGACTCCGCTATCGTCACACATTTGAATTGATTTAAAAATCAATGGACTTGGGGCCCTGGAATCTACACCTAAATGATTCGTCAGTGACCGAAAATAAGTAGGTTCAAGGTATTCGTTACGAGATGCTGCGAGCCCATTGGCTATGTAATGGGGTGTTCATAAATTACGGATGAAGGGTCCATTAAATATTCATACAAATAATGAAATGGTAATGCGGAATAGCCTGGCAACTTAAGTTTTGTGACGTCAGAATTTTATGCGTTGTTTTACATAGACTGGCGGATGTTATTTGAAGTAACTTTGTACATACAGTCTAAATAATTTTCTTAATGTCTCTCGGCAAATTTCGAGTTTCCGAATGCACCCGAACACAAATTTCCATGTAATTATAGCCGTGGTAACCTAAGAGTTCCAATTATGTCGTAACGTTTTTATTATCGTTGGACGACTGTCGCATCTAGCCTGTTCCCATACCACGACTATCTGTAGTGATTGTGTCGTGGACGGTTATTTTGAATTTTGGTTAAAGATTGGTTAGATTGATTTTTTTTATAATATCAAGTGACGGGCCTGTCCATAACATATGCAGTGACACTCAGCTCTTTAAATCGCAGAGATGGCTCAGATCTCACTGCTACTGCGCCCGTCACCCTGAGACATAAGTTGACAAGTCCCATGTGCCCGTAATTTCGCCAGCACCCTTACTCTTCAAAACCGGAACACAGTAATGCTGACATTACTGCTTAGCGGCAAAAACAGATAAGAATGAATATGGTACCTAAAAGAAAACACCTGTTCACTTTGACCTAAATTATCCAGGTTGTATTGTTCACATAAACTAAGGGTCAAATGGCCCAATGACTTGTGGGTCAATTTGAGACCAATTTGGGAAATGACCTTTTCTATATTGATGGACTGGGTAGTGCCCTGGAGTGAACTCTGTTGCTGTCTGGTACTCACAGCACAGGGCATTCACTAGTTGTAGTTTAATACGTTATTATTAAGCGCTAATTGATTCCTTCCATTTTTTATTGATGTTTAATAAATAACGACCTGAAATTGTGACAACTCGTCTGAAGTGAAACCAATGAGTAATCATTCATGTGCACTCAGTTGATATTTATTAATAAAGACTGCTAATTGACTTGATTAATCGGTTAATTAATTAATCGATTTCCATTTATTTATTTATTCATCTCACATTAGCAACATAACAGATTAAAATCCAAGTGACTACAAACGCAGAAACAATAAACAAAACCGACCTCAAAAGTCATTCATCTTCTAGTTTGCCACCCTTAGAGGTGGTATATTTTCTTCAAATTTAAATGGGACCACATCTGAGGTACCTTCTTTCCAACAAAAGAATCATGAAAATACAGTTATCGCGTAACATACACACAAAAAAAACCATACAGTCGAATTGAGAACCTCCTGCTTTTTTGAAGTCGGTTAAAACAAAGATTTTATACAGAATGAACATGTTTAATGTTATAGAATTGAACTAACAGGCGTCAATGGTTCAAAAACTTTTTTACATGGCTCATTAGACAGATCAGAATGTGGTACCATATTTAAGATGGATTTATTTATATTCAACCGACTTCAAAAATGTCAATTCAATTGTATTTTTTTTGTGTTTATGTCACGCGATTTCATCGATTCTTTTTTATTGAAAAGTGAGTACCTTAGTAGTAGTCCCGTTTAAATTTGAAGAAGTTAATGCACTTTTAAGTTTGTTAAATTAGGGGATGATTTCAGTTTACTGACCTTCACCTACTTTTCGTTAATCGATTTCAATAACACTTGGTACATAGATGTAATTCTAACGAAAGTAAAATGTTATACCAGGGTTTCTTAACCTGTGGTCCATAGACCCCTATATATATATATACCTAAGGGGTCCGTGTAATGAACGCCGGGGGTCCATGACGAGCCTACCTAACATGTTGACGAGGATTTCTATATTATGCGTTTCAGTTATCGTGACCACGGTAACGAATATATACAATAGCATGGCCTCAAAAGTTAGCTCGGTCGGTTTTTAGAGGGCTTTCTTTACATAGACACTCTTTCGCACGTGTTAAAGCAATCGAGCGCGATTGCGCGCGCGTGTAATGAAGAAAAACTGCGCGATTGCACTTTAACACGGACGCTCTTCCGTTGTAATAAAAACGAACGCGAGCAATCGCGCGCGATTGTGCGTGCAGGCTATCCCGCGCGCAATCCTGTACGCGCGAAAGAGTGCGTGTGTAAAGGGGGCTATTATTATTTGCATAAAGTGCGTAAAGTTGCAAAATGGCGCTACTGATATGTTAAAAGCATTTGTTTAATTTTTTTTCCTTATTTTAGTATATTATATTCTTAGTCACTACAATGACATCAAGTAATCAAGTAACAAGACGTAGGTATATTTATAAGACATGTTCGTTCGGTTCGCATCTTAAAGGTTAGACCTGTGGAACAAAGATAGATGGTGACTACACTAACCTTAACAACAGTATTGTTCTGCAAATGTGTCAGCAATCTGGGTTCGGGCAGAGCGATCTTGTAAAGGCTGGAAGTGGGTACGCCCGGCCCGAGGCACTCTAACACGAAGTACGCCGATGATGGACTGAAATGTGCGTCGTGGAACAGGCATGGGAGGTTCTGGGGAAGACCGTCTGTGGAATGAGAAAGAGTTACATAAATTATATTGGGTTATCGGCTGAGAAAGTGTCTTAGCTTGATTTTTGAACAACCAGACGCAAAAACGACGTTAATTTTTCACTCTCTTTCGATAGGGCTTGAAAAATGCTTTCAGTTTTGAAAAGTTTTATCCTAAAACGAAACTTTCCTGACAGTTAGACTCTAATTGCAGACCTTTTATGATACTGTTACCTGGAAGTTTTCAGTACATAGTCGTAGCAACTAAGTATTTCAGCACAGGGCATTCATTCAGAAACTTGTATTATTCCCATAAAGCACCTTACCACATATTACTTAATTACTAATTAAAAATTTATATATATATTAAAAAACTATTAAAGTTACTACGTAATAGATACATCACTCTCATACAAAATCGAAAATACCTACGCTATATTAACCAACTAAATCTGACTAATGACACCAGGCGCTCACTATGAGGAAAAAGGAAACTAAGCACACGCTCAGAGAGGTGAAAATAACGTTGCCCGCAATGTGCTGTCGTGCGGAGTCGAATGCTCATTAATGAAAGACTTGTATGAGCGCTTGTGCCGACGTCGGTACACTCAGCGATAGGCACTTGAGCGAGTGACGGATCCCTGACCTTACGTCGAAAAGAGACAAATACCTGGATGTTTCTTCTTTTTCTTTTTCTGTGGCGCTGGCGACGTTGACATCTCCTCGTCCATCCAGTCGCTATCCCAAGCGTTATCGCCTGAGGACGCCAGGCTGCCGTAATACTCCAGGTTTATTGACGGCGACGGCTACACATAAGATATTGTTTTCTGCTGATTATTGACATGAAACGGTGACTGGACATTGAAGTATGGCTATTGAAGATGTCCATAATTAATACTAACAACCTCTCTGGACTACATGCTAACATTGTGAACGAAATTTTTTGTTCCACGTGACAGTTAAAATTAATTAGATTTTATTTTCATACAAAAATGCTTAAATAGATCGCTCTAAACAGTGATAACTATGTGCAAAACACAGGAGTGCGTTTGAGGCTCGTCGGGGAGGACGCTTGCACGTTTGAACTTATTACCTACCTTACTACCAGATCCAGATGTAAAACGTGTCAGATAGTACAACTTGTCAGATAGTACAACGTGTCAGATAGCACAACAAGAACTTAAAACTTTATTTTTGTGTGCTCTTGTACTTCAATCTGTAAATTTTAATTTCTTAAATCATATCATAAAAGGCGCTCTTTTTAGTTCTGAATCAAAATTCTATTGTCTCTGGTATTCGCTACTGACCTGAAAAATACTATAATTATTACCTATGAGATTCAAAAAAAGATCGTCGTATTTATGGTAATTTACAATAATATCAAATTATGACGCTACTCAAACGCTCTACTGCCTCCTGCTTGGTTAAAATGATCCAAAGGGCCAACCAACTGGGCCATAACCCTTTATTTAAAAAATGATTGGTTGAAATATAAGCGGTATTTGGCCACTATACTATCTCTTAGGTTTTTTGTTTTGTAGCGTTTCTTTGTTTGTTCCAAAATCAAAGTCAAAGTTAAAAATCATTTATTCCATAGGTAAAATAAATTTATACTTGAAAACGTCACTACCTTGTCGCTGACTTCCCTGAGAAGAACGAGCAAGAAACTCTAGGGATATTGACTCTTTTCAAACAAACTTAAATTCTATAGAATAGACTTCGAATCAAAGTGAGGAATCTGGCCATCAGCCATGTTGTCTTTCCATACATATTTAGCTAACACGTAGTCTTCAATTTTGTAATATTACTTTTCTATCAAAATATTTTTAAAGTAGTTTTTGAATTTAGGAAATGCTAATCTTAATATATGCTCCGGAATCTTATTGTAAAAACATATCCCCATAAAACAGTTCCCCATAAAAGAGTCGTTTACCTTGGTTAAACAAAATCGTGGTACCATGAGTTTGGACTTAGCTCTAAGGTTGATATTATGGATATCTTCTTTCTTATTCAAATGACGTACATTTTTACGGGCATATAAAATAGTTGAGTAAATGTAGTCACTCATGATACCAGTCTCCTTAAACTTTTCTCCGAGAGAAACCCGAGAGCCTAAACGGTACACAGAACGAATCGCTCGTTTTTGCAATACAAATATGGTTTGAATATCTGCCGCATTACCCCACATGAGAATCCCGTAGGATATTATACTATGGAAGTAACTAAAGTAAACTAGTATAGCAGTACTAACATCGGTAAGCTCACGTATTCTGCGTACTGCGTATGCAGCGGAGCTTAATCTGCTGGCCAGGGAAGATATATGTTGAACCATAGAAGTTTACTATCTAAGGTCACTCCCAAGAAGACTGCTTTATTAACAAGACAAGGTCTAATTTTTCTCCGTTTATTTCTAAGCTTGGACCAGTCGATTTTACGTCAGGTAATTAAAATTTAACACATTTTTCTTCATGTCTGTTTGTGTTTGTTGTTTTTGTTGTCATTAAATATTGGTTGTGTTTCTTTATTTTATTTACTCGTAGAAATACTATTGTATGCAATCATTACATAATTAGGTCATAAAATCTCGTGCAAGTAACACGATACTCGACTTTAAGAACCCTCATTATGCAACGATTGCATAAAAGACTATTTGGTAAAAAATTGTTTTGAAAAAAGTACAAAAGTTGTTGTTTATGATGTTACTAATATTGAAAGGTTGTTAGTACCTATTTTACAAATATAGCCCTGTATAAGGTGCCGACAGCCAGATAGATCGTCTATCAGCAAAAGTTTGGACGTGCTATTTATTTCATAAACTTTACTGGACAGCTTAATAAACTGACAACCATCGCAATTATGGCTATTCCTTATTTATTAGCGCACATCGACAATGAGTACTCAGTCTCGAAATCGCTAGCGATATTTAAAGATATTTCATACCTTTGATCAAATGTTATTCAACTTGTATGTTTTTTTAATTTGACCAACTTCTGCTATAGTAAATTTTATTCATTTTGTATGAAAAAATATTTTATGAAATTTGACCAACTTCTGCTGTCCCGATTTTATTCGTCCCATACAATGAAAAGGTCTCTTCAGAAAACTGTGTCGATCAGCACTAAAAATGATTTTGATCAATTTTATTCACTTTTATGAACAAATCGTGCTTGATAGAAAAATTTACTATGCCAAAAATGTTTTTTAAAATATACGCGGTTCTAGCGACATTGTAAACTCATAGCGGAAGTACTGATATCTCTAATAGCAGAACATTGTAAGCTGAAGTGATACTGATGAACGAATTACCAACCTGGGAATTACACGTAACACAATAAGGCAACTTCTGTGGCGATCCAGCTCGTGGCGCTTCCGACGACACTCTGTACAAATGCTGTTGCCCTGGTTTGCCTTCGGGTATGCCCAAGTAGTATCTGCATAAGAAATAACTTATTTCAGTAAAAGGTGAATATAAGAATTACTTTATATGATGAAATATTAGAAGCAAAAGGTGTGTGTAAATGTAAGCATTACTGTGTTCCGGTTTTGAAGGTTATAATGGTGCTGGTGAAACTACAGGCACATGCGACTTGTGAACTTCAAGTGTCAAGGTAACGCACACAGTGGCAATGTATCTCAGTCTTTGCGATTTAAGTCTCTGAGTGGCAGTGCAACTGTTATGGACAGGCGTGTCACTTACCACCAGGCGCACTACTAGTTCGTCCTGTCACTAAGTATCATAAAAAATGTGTGTGCGTGTGCGTGTGTGTGTAGCCTATCACGTGTACTGATATTGTGATCACAGCATCTTGCAATACGCCACAGAAATCCAACTGCCTCAAGCTGTTAGCAAGGCTGACTGAAATTAAGCCATTTATTATTATAAGCCCCGTGTGCCTGTCTCACTAGCATGGTTACCCTTTAAAACCGGAACGCAGTAATGCTTACACTACTGCTTGGCGGCATATAGGTAAGTTAGCAGTGCTTCCCTGAAAAAACTCTTTCACAAGATCTACTGCCGTTATTTGGTACGTCATGCAAATTTTCATATTATTTTCTTGTTTCGTTGGATCTTTATAATTATAACCGCCCAGTAAAATATCATACATTGTTGACAGTTTTCTCATAGTAACGTATTAAGGCGTACAAAGGTCGTCGGAATTTTCCACAAGATATGAAACTGGTGTGAATAACGAGCGAATTTTGAAGCATCATGCTTTTCTTTGTGCGTATTTCAATCAAGCACGACGGAGGGCAATATACCCGATGAATAAGCAACTCTGCTTATCGATTACTTGCCTTAGCAATTAACTAAGCGATTTCTTTTAAGGGCTTCGATGAAAAGCACGCAACTAAAATCATTTGTAATAAGTCGTTTCCATAATTATGAGTTCGCATAATTTTCGAATAAGAATTAGCAATGCGTAGTTATAATTTATTTTTCGTAACATTAATATGGAATCCGAGTTGTCGCTTAGGGGCTCGACGACTAATAACATGGTTGGTTAAAAAAGTAATGCAGTTGTATTTCGGACTTATATAAATTGTCAAAAATAACATTTTAAAATAGGTAGTTGTAAGCAAGGCTGACAAAATACTTTCATGAAGTATATTAAAAGTACAAAATGTGGTATTTTGACCTCGATTATTTTAAATGGCAAAATATTATAAATATTACCATTAACTGGACACCGTGAAAGTATTTTGAAACATTAGTTAAATATCAGTTAGTTAATACAGAAGTATCAGTATCAAAAAATATATCTGTACGTATTACAGATATTTGAACTACCATTTTACAAAATACATTTTTAGGTATAACTGAGACACAAATAAAAAATACGTTTTTGTATTTCAAATAACGTCCAATACGTATTTCAATCATAAGTAATTCAAATACGGTTTAAATTTAAACAATTATTTTGTTTTTTTTTTAAATTTCTTTTAATTGACTTTAATGTCAAAAAACTAACTAGCTTTAAAAACTATCTAGAATAATTCTAAATCGTTAATATTTTAATTCGCATAGTTATTCGCAATCCTTACCAGTGAGGACCGACGGAGGAGAAGAAGGAGGAGTTATTCACAAAGTACCAGGCAACCATAAACTCACATGTGCTGATTAGCATGATCCCACGCCAGTAACTTCACGACGTCGAAACTTCCATGCGTTAACGGCAGCGCTCTTGGTCCATGTGCATTGTGCTCCGCTCTTACAATATGACGGAATAGTCCTGCGGGCCCGTCTCTGATTGGAGCCAGAGTCACCAGCGCACCGCCTCCCGCTGACCAGAGAGGAGACGGAGCTGATTCCACCCAACCCTCAGAGCCCGATGATATCCGGTATACCTGTTAAAGTGAAGTGATGTTTTCCACATTTGTTTGCATTTTGGTAACTTTTGGGATATTGGCACCTAAAGATTTTTTTAATTTAAAACGGTTTTAATTATTAATATAAAGATCGATCACTAATAAAAATGTCCTTAATCCAGCTGGATTCGAACTAGCGCTTTCAACATACCGTGCCTGATGCTCTCCCAATTGAGCTGCGAGACGAACTACCAAACCCTACAAATTTTTTTATGTGTTCGTTGGAAGTCTTTGTTTCTGGTTTTTAACAACATTTTTGCCGTAGCGTCATCTGTGAGAAATCCTTGAAAGTTTTTCTTCATCGTTGCGATATTCAACAAACTTAATATGAAATAGTTATTTTTGATACAAGTGCGGAAAGTTAGTCATTATTCACGAGTCTCGAGGCATCTTGGCCCGAGCCAGAGGCGAGGGTCAAGACTCGAGACAAGTGAAAATGACAAATCCGCATGTGTATCAAACAACGTTTTTTAATACATTTGCGAAAAACCTACATTGAAAGTAAAATAAAACAGTATTTAAAAAAGTTAATGAAAAAGGCGGGAATGTAAACGATGAAAAAAATTAGTACTCTTTTTGGCCGACTTTTTTCAATATGGCAACTGTTGCCAGTATTCAGCCACATTAAAATTACTATTTTATATTACTTTATTTTCTACATAATCGCTACTAAGGAGCATTTACTTCATAGGTGTAAAATGCGGTCTCTCCATAGATATAGTATAGTAATGACGAATGACTTACGTCACAAAGCACATAAATATGAAATAAATATACAATCTCTTTAGTTCTATGTTTAAGACTTAAAACAACAGTAAATTAAAAAAAAAACTGGAAAAGTAAAAAGCACTAGTGCGAGAAATCCAACTTTCCGCACGATTTGTAATGCGAAAAATACCACGTTTTGAGCAACTGTATTAAAAAGGTTTTTTTATACGGAACCTGTTGTGCATGTAAGTTAAACTTCCACGGTTTCCTTAATTCAGGAAGGTATCGAACTACTAGACACAGATGGCGCTACGGCAACAAAGTAGATAAAACCAAAAACAAAGCATCTGCAACAAGCGTCTGGCACGGTTTGCTGGAAGACGTTGGTTCGAATCCAGCCGGATCGAAGGAATTTTTTCTTAGTGTTCTATCTTTGCATTAATAACTACTACATTAAGTGTTTAAAAAAAACCACTAACCTCTTGACAATACCACATAGGGCTCTTGCAGACGGATACCACGGAGAGATTCTGCATCCTAGTAAGCCAGACGACACACACTTCTGTCAGAGAGACCCACTGCGCGCTCGTAAAGTAGTAGTCACTACGAATAATTTTCATGTATTAATTAGGACAGTTTGTTCAACAAGTAGTTGCTTTTTGAACAACCTTTAGTACTTAGAGCGAATATTCAACAAGTCATTGGTAAGCATGGCATAAAGACGAAATATGTCACAACTGACATTTCAAACCTAGTACCTGTACAGCTACATATAAATACACTTGCGAATGCAAACTCAAACAAGTTTAAAAATTACTACTTGGCATAATTGTATATGGTACTTGTAGTCTATGTGGATTGTTTATATTTGTCGCGAGCGCATACGTCACATGTGCGTGTGTGGAAGGCGCCTGTTAGTGTTAACCCGGAGGTACGTGGTGGTGTAAGTGAGCCAAATTTACGCGATTACTTGTGGAGATTTAACCACTGTGGGTATAAACCCTTTAAAGGGTTTCGAAAGAAGTTTTACTATAAGTTTTAGTTTTAGTATTGTGTTTTTGAATAAAGAAATTTAACAAAATCTCATCTTCAAACTGTTAATTTATCTACTCTTAAAAATAACGTCACGTGAGTTAAGCCTAACACGAATATCACGCACATTGATGCTATAGTAGCCCCTTAGTCGGTAGTCAGAAGAAACCACTCCTATATCATTTATAGTAGCGAAGATTTAGTTCAGTCTAATTCGTATGGCGGCCATCTTGGATTCGCCATATATAATTTTTTTGCCTTAGTGGAACTTGAACACCTAGGCCTTGGCGACTTTTGTTTGAGAGTCCACATCAATAACCTCTAATCCATCACAGACCGCTTATCTGGGAAACTAGATCGGTTTGGATGTTACGAGAGAAAATCGTCTTTAATGCGGTGAATTTATCAATTTGCGCTACTGCTATGCTTGCTAGATTCTTCTTCTTCTTCTTCTTCTTCTGCTTCTGCTTCTTCTTGTCCTTATCCCACCCTAGGTGGGTCGGCACAACATGTATTTTTCTTCCACTGTCCATACTCACACCTTTCTTATCCATGACATCTTTTACACAATCCATCCATCTTTTCTCATACACTGATCACAAACTAAACCGTGCGTTGCCAATTTCACCAGCATCACTCTAGATTACCTCATCAAGAAAAAAATATCTGCACGAGGATATAGTGAGTTGAGGCCATGCTGAAATATGAATGTGATAAGTTGAGGACGTGGAGAAATGAGGGTGTCGTGACCTAAGAACATGGTGAGATGAGAGTGTGGTGACTTGAGAACATGGTAAAATGAGAATGTGGTGAGTTGAGAATTTGGTAACCTTCTCACAAAGGGCACCAACGTCATTATCATCGACTATGTTCGTCCTAAAGCAGGGTAACGGCTTCTTCTAAGGAAAGGGCTATAGTTTACATCTCAATATCAATAAAAGCCTCAGTAGTGCAGGCCTTTCGATAGCCATCTAATCCAGAACCTCTTACATAAAAGGCAAGCGGTCTATTTTGCTTCAACTATATAAATTACTTAAGTAAGTCCATTTTAACCGTCAGCTAGTTATCTTACTGTTTTTAAATAAGGCTATCGGGACACAGATGAATGTGGGTAAAGCAAATTTATTTTACTGTCGAACAAACACGAAATTCTCGTGGAAATTGTCAGGCAGCGCCCTATGTAAACAATTCATAAGTAAAAGTGTCAACCGTTTGGTCACACGAACCTTGTGACACGCCTTAATCCTGGGGAGCCGCGTTTTATCTAGCTCTAGGGACAACAGATCGGATGGGATCGTCTCGGCTTTTGGCCACCGCACACATGACAGTTTTCGCATCGGTGAACAGCAGTTGGATGGTAGTCGTTGTAGCGATTTTTGATGTATTTACGCAGAAGTTTTATGTCGTTTGTAGTATCGAATATATAGCCAGTAATAGAGACGAAATAAGGGCCATCCATTCCTGGCAGCTCATCAGGCAAATATGGGCCTTATATCACTTTTAAATATTAACTTTTGTTTGCACTGAAATCACAAATTAGAAAGCTGAAATAGTACAGCGCCAACAACTGACCTGTGTGTACGTCTCCGTATATTCCAAAAATATTCTATATTTATTGTAATAAGGATAATATCTCAAACTATGGGCGGTTGTTCCATTTGGTGTTGTGGGAAAAACAGCAAAACATCTAATTACAAAACAAACGGTATCACATTTCATCAGTAATTAAATACTAAACATGTCATTCTTAAATTTTCGTCCATTATAGCAAAGCTTAAGTTAAACTAGTCGATTTGCAGTGAAACAATTGACGATACCCGTAAATTTTTTCGAATTCGGGCTGGTCAATCGGTGCGAAGTTGTCACCGTAATGATTTAGCAGAATAGTTTTCAAATAAATTAAATGATATTTCGTCTCTATTTCTGGTCATAGACTCGATGCTATTAAGTGACGGAACGAAGAAGTCGTGTCCGATGGTAAGCGACATGCTTCCCATAACAATTGCAGTGCCACTTAGAGCTTTAAATAGCAAAGATCTTAGTGGCAGTTTGTCTTGATATTTATATTTGAAATAAATATTGTAACTATAAATGGATACAAATATATATTTACAAAGAGCAAAACCTAGAAAGAGAGTAGAGAGAATCTACCTAAAGAATGCAGTAGAGTTTAATGAATATACAGATTTCAAAGTATCCAAACTAATATTATAAATGCGAAAGTAATTCTGTCTGGTACGTTTTCACGCCGAAACCGCTGAACCAATTTTGATGAATTTTGGTATAGAGATAGGAGAAGGTCACAGGCTACTTTTAACACAAAAATAAATCTTAAAGAGTGTGAGATAGGGAATAAAAGTTTGTACAGTGAACCAATAAAACTACGACAACAATTAGTATAGTACCTACAGTACTACTACAGGGCTACAGGACTACTCGAAGTAATCATTCTACGCAGATGAAATGGCAGGTACCATCAAGTATTGTTATAAAAAATAAAAATTGTCTAATTGTACCTTGAGATTTTTTTTTCAAGAAGGTTGAATTTTCAACTGAACTCGTCTACATAATCAATTTGTGTCGTGATATGACAACTTATTCGCATAAAATATTACAACTTGTTTTTATATTCTTTTTGCTACGTTTTTGTTTTTCATTACTGTTGTTTTGATTGCCAATGGTGTGACGTGCATTATTTTCGTAATCGAGTTTAATTGTATTTGTATGTAAGTATTTCCGGTTTTCATCACTCCTTTTACGTATTAATTTATTATTTTTTCACAGTTAAGTTTACGAGGGAACTTACCAAAATACTTATATGCTAGTCACAATGTAGTTAAATTACATAGGTACTTTGCTTTGGATTTTTAAAAATCCATTGAGAAACAATACAGTATATTCATTGACTTACAATTATATGGACGTCGGGTCCGCGCTAAAAAGTGTCCGAACTTATAGGGCGTTAAAATCGTATACAGAGCGTCATTCACGCTTTAGTCTTCGTTTGTTCGACTGACAGCGAAGCAAGCAAAATTAGATAGTACTGCGATGACATTACAATTTAAATTCAACGTTTTAGCTTTTTCATATTCCTTTACATGTCACTACCTTTAAATAGGTTGACTGTGGTTTTTGTATTAGACCCGTCGTCCATTTATTTGTAAGTCAATGAGTATATTTCAAGAATTAATTTGAACTGTCATGGAATGTCGGCACGTGACTGTTGTGTGAGCAATTGATTAAGCAAAGAAATCGCCCGAACAGTACAGACAATGAAGGTGCGCGAGCGAAACAAGAGACGTTTATACATTCCCATACAGTCCATATCATCGACTTCACAAGTGTCGTCATTTTGTGACCTTGCAACGTAAATTAATTGTTTTCGCAAAATTTGTGTAGCGAATAGTCGAAATGGAATATACCGTTTATGCGGTGGGCGTTTAAAACCGCTCAGCTAAAACATTCCCAAGAGGACTAGCCGTTGGGATGTGGGTAGCGCATTCACCCTTTTTACCCACACCTTTTTGCGGTTAAGTTTTTTCAGCTAAATGCCAAGGTTGAACAGTGTTATGAATAATTTTTTGGCGTGCGGTTGTAAGCGCATCGTGACCATAATTTCTTGTGCATGTTTTATCTTCTAACGATTGAAATATCGTTAGAAAACCTATTTAATACATTGGGGGAAACATATTAAATTTTTCGAAGATATGTGCATTCCTTTGGGATAGGCCTAGGAATTCAAGCTCTATTTTCTCGTACTGAATCGGTTCTATTGCGGGAGTCGAGTGGCAGGGACACTGGCTTCATTTCAGAATTTATTTTTTTAGTAAACGAAATTAAAGCCGTCTAAAAAACGTATATCGTATATTTAAAAAGTCATTGGTACATGTAAAGTACTTATTGAATACATCACTTTTCTTGTAAAATTTCGAGGTACGTAGTATTTTTTCTCTCTCACTCACTCACTCTCACTGTTATGCCGAATCAATCAAAGCCATTTGAGGTTGTATCGACTCATAGATAAGTACTACGGGACGCATACATATTACGTTGAATATTATCATTTATTTACTGGCTTAAAGTAAGTGTAACAGCGTTTAAATTATTGATTGCACATTTTACATTTTGCTTATCAGTGACTTCTTTTACCTATCTTTTTTTCTTTTTTTTACCTTTTTAGGTCTTTATGTGTGAGAAATTTCGCCTTTGTAACACACTACTGTGACGACTAGATATAGACATTAAAAAGTAGTGGGTCAAGGAGGGAACCCTAGGGAACTCCAGAAGAATTAGTAGCATATTATATAGCATATTATATAGCATATTGTCACACACTTTTTAACCCTCTTAGAAACCAGAACCCATCCTAAAGATCGTGATCATGTAATAAATTATACATGAAATGCAAACAATACTTACTAGACGAATGCTCGAACCACAACAAGCAAACCGCCTTGAAGCTTGCAGTAATGCATTTACACTTCGAAATGGACAAACAATATTGTATTCAATTTTTGACAATGAACTTACCCTTCCTCAAGGATGACTTTAGGCGGTGTCAAATGCCTCGTGCGAATATGCTTCGGATCAGCGATGTCCGCCACTGTGAGCGTTATCGTTGGATTGTGGGTGCCCGGCTTAGGGTACCGCACGCTCCTAATCTCCGGGTATGTCTGGACAAATAACAGTCATTAGTTTTGATAGCGATCGACTGAGGAACTTAGAGGATGAGCATTTGTACATACATGCCTAACGCCACAGCAGCGGCCGAAAATGTTTGCCGTGTAATATCGGCGCAGTCAATTCTCCAAATCAGATATCTCTACTTTCTGTACAAGAAAATAGTGTTTTGTTTTTGGAATTATTATGATAAAGTAAATATGTAAAAAAAAGGAGAATGAAAGTACTTTTAATCAGAATGACAACATCCTAAAACAAAAATATAAAAGAAACATCCAAAGCCTACAGCAAGTGTTACTTACTTTAACACGCCCTCCTAATAACCCCAGCATAAACCCAGAATAGGTACACGATGTTCATATTTGCAAACAGACAGTGACTTATTATATCTGTTAACATGTCGGCTGATATAACAACTCGATACCATCTTTTAAAACTTCTTTCATATAGTGTAACTGAATGTCAGTGTTTAGTAGGTTTAAAGCAAATAGGGCTATAGGCTAATTTTTATGCCGCCTTATATATTATACAGATGACAAATTGGGGTGTGATCGAGTAACGTTTGCAAAAGTGCACGGAAGTAGACAGCTTCCATGGCACGCCGTATGTTTTGAAAATGCTGAAGTAACGCACTTGAATTTTAGTAGAAGTGCCGTTTTAATCGCTATTGTTAACCCGCTATTGCAGCAATTGTATTAATTTTTTGGAGAGTCTAATGCCCACTACAGACCTATGTGGTCGTACATGTATTTTTCAGATACCAAGAGTCTGAGTTTTTTCTTCATAGAGAGAATTTGGTAAGTAATCATGCAAATAAGAAAAGATATCTTGCCTTTGTTGGATCATCAGTGTCCAGCGCCGAACCATACCAAGGATACTTCTGCTCGTGCACTAGACTGTCATTGAAGGTGGCGTATAGCACCATGTGGCCATCTGCTGACATCCACAGCGCAGTCCTGCTTTTCAGTATCTCTTCTGCAACAATCGAGAAATAATGTTTAGATCACTCGGTAGTGTTTTCTAAGTTATTACCGCATCCTGACGGCGTTTTCTGCATGCTGCCTGGGACTCACCGATGTTCGTTTATTGGATGCGACTGCATATCGTCTGGTAGTGTTACTTGGTGTAACGGGCAGGTAGCGTTATTAATTTTTATTTGTTTTTATGTAGCTTTGTTTGTATTGTGTAACTGATCCCTTAGATCTAAGCACTTTGTATAATACTAACAATCTATGGACCGGATTCCGAAACAAATCATTGTTATTATTATTATTAAAATGATCACTAAAATGTAACGAGTTAGTATGTCCTACAAAGAAATGATTTAGGTTATAGCTCTCTTCCCTGACTCAACGAGTTGGTGACATCACACGCCATAAAATTCTGTCCCGGTATTAACTTTTCAGCAAGATGTTTGCCTTTCCTGGTAATGTAATGATCCAAAAAGTCTCAGTCATACAGGGAGTTCAATTGAGCGTTATCTGCATGCGAAGCGTTTTCGTGTTTTACAACTTTATTATTTAGGTAGACATAAAGCATGTTGATAATCTATTTTACCGTGGCCAACGTTTTAGTATGTACGTACATTGTAATATCTTCACATCGATCTTCCACCCCATAGATCAACAAGACGGAAGCGATCAATCGCTTCTAGTGGCGTTCGTTCTCTTACAGAGCTCCAAGTCTGTTAATTTTAAATAATCTCACTTGAGTGTCAACGGCAGGATTACATACAAGTATTTTGCTAAAAGTTAAGAGTGTTTAGTGGCTTATCAGTGGCTAGCATCGACTATATAACCAGAAATATAGACGAAATAAAGGCCATATATTCCTTGTAACACATTAGCGATACAGCTCTTATAAATATCAACTCTCGTTTGCACTGAAATATAGACAGGCCAACTACTAATCTGTGTGTACGTATCCGTATATTCCAAAAATATTCTGTATTTATTGTAATAAAGATAATATCTCTAACAATACCGTGCTGTTCTATTCGGTGGTGTGGGAAAAACAGCAAAACATCTAATTACAAAACAAACGGAATCATATTTTGATCGGTAATTAAATATTAAATATGTAATTTTGCAATTTTCGTCCATTACAGCAAAGCTCAAGTTAACTAGTCGATTTGAAGGGAAACAGTTGACGACACCCATTGACGACACTCGTCAATTGTTTCGAATTCGGGCTGGCCAATCGTAGCGCAGTTATCACAGTAATGATATGGCAGAATAGTTTTCAAACAAATTAAATGACATTTCGTCACTATTTCTGGTTATATACTCGATGGTGGCTAGTCATCGAGCTACTATTCAATTGCCATTGCAATTTTGTGGTATTCTGCTTTTCAATGACGAGTGGACGGCACGTTGTCGATGGCGTAGTCTACTAATTTATTTGATGTTTCTTGTCATTGCCATTGATATACTATTGAACAAACACCGGTATTATATTGTAGCCCGCCCACGCGATACATGCAGCCGTAGACGCATACCACGCCTAGAGCTGCCGGTGATGATTTTAATGCCTGGGTCTGTTATTTAAAAAAATAAACAACTTCAAAAATACGTCACGACAATCGTGTGTGTTATTACTTGGGCTGGTGATTTCGGTGTTTATTTATTGAAAACATACCGTAAGTAGCGTTTTTTTAAGTTTACCCTGAATATAAATGTTTATAAACTATACTTTAAGGAGTAATTTCATGGTAAACGTTAGAACCACTCAAACGGAATATTATCATATTTATTCAATTACACCAAAAATTTCATTAGTGCTTTTTAAGTGCAGGATTTGCGGTGTATTACTGCATTTTATTTGAGATGTTTTTGTTGGTAGTACTGAGGGTATTTATTTAGCCGCTCACGCGATGCGCTACCCCCACCTACACGGCCCTTAAAGGATAGGATAAACCTACCGCAAAATGGCGGCTATCTGGTTTCGCAAATTAGAAAAGCATTAAGTTTAAATATAAGTTTTTATAAATAAAAATTATTATTCTGCATTGCTAAATAATAATTAATAACACAGCCCGCTGGCCTGACTAGGGGATCAGGCGAGCAGCGAACTGCCTTCGCCTTCTCTCCGTACGTCTGCGCCGAAGCGGGTGCGCGTCTGAGGGACTCCGGAGCCTGCATTACACGGCCTCACTCGTCTGGGGGGCGGGTTGGAGGACAACCAACTCGCCCCTCCGTTGGCGCGGGAGCCCCGGCGCAAGCTAGTGCGGCCGGGCAGCGTCGTGGTGAATGTTCACCGATTCCACGGCGCCGACTCAACCGGTCCCTCCAGACTGGAGGGAGAGTCCCCACATAACCCCTGAATCTCCCTGGGCTCAGGGGTATCTATAAAGATCTCCCCCCGTAAAAAAAGGTTAAGTAGGTTTAAAAGAAATTTAAAAAAAATTTACCTCTTAAAATTACTTTAAATGGTATGAAAATTCGAGCAATCGTTATTTCTGGAAAACGTCATTTCGGACTACTGATAAGTAACCCATCACTGCTATTCCACTAACACTCTAGTGACACTGAACTGTAATTGCTGGGTTTTAGCCGAATAACAAATACTATAATCGCAATATTATCGCAGTGGAGCCTCGATGGAATTACAATGACCAGTGGTTTAAAGAAAATTAGCAGATTTGGGACTTAAGTGAGAACGCGGACACTCATAACCCCGCACTAGGCAAACCCTGTGTCGCGGGTGCCGTGGAAACATCAAATTACTTCACTAGTTTGTTATAATTTCTTTTCAAATGATGATCTATGATGAGCTATGGTGTGGTTTTGTGGGGCAATAGCACAGATGCTTTGCGCTTGTTCACTCTGCAAAAAAAATGTATAAGAATACTGGTAAACGCCGATCCATAGGACAGCTGCAGGCCACATTTCATTAAATTAAATATTTTAACTGTACCATCATTATACATTTTAGAAATATGCAAATTTGTTAACAATAACATACACTTATTCACCAGAGCAAAGGACACATACACTCAGCCGATGAACCTCAGACATGGAAATAGACTTGCGCTACCTAGCTCGAAATTAAATATGCACAGCTCAGGACCATTTGTAATGGCAATTAAAATTTTCAATAAACTCCCCAATACAATTTCATCCAAATTGCAGACTAATTTATTTAATAAACAGCTTAGAGCACATTTGATTAAAAAATGTTGTTATAGTTTAAAAGAGTTTTTTGAAGTATAATTAATTAATATAATATAATACCTTTTCAATTACTGTTTTAATTACTAGTTTTACATTTTGTTAGTTATATAAGTTGTCTTAGAAAAAATGTTAACTTCTTATTATGTTTCATTTATGTTTTATTTTTATTTTCTTATTATACTTTTAATTGCGGCGCCCTAACAGGGTCATGTTGACACTATATATAAATTTTAAGACCTATGTAACACATGGAAGCAATAAATACTTTACTTTACTTTACTTTACTATCAAATACTAAGAAAAAACCCTTCTATAGTAGTGAAGGCACTGGTTGGAATCCAGCCATAATTGAACATCATGGTAGTAAAACATTGTGATATTCAATAAATTTCGTATTATAATTTAATTATTGCTGGCTACACCAGCACTTCTATGTTCTGTATCGCTATTTAAACCATGTAATTCTGTGTGTGCTCTAATAAACTTGAATAATGTAAATCAGGGTATTTTATTCATAGACGTCGTCTCAAATAACGTGTGATATTATTTTAATTTATGTCTGCAGTTTTGATAAAAATAATATCTGTCAAATACTGAACTTTTGGCTTAGTAAGCAAAATGTTGCTTCATCAAATTTTTGTTTTTTTTCAAATTTTCAAGTTTTAAATTTTTTGTTACAAATCAAATGGAAAATTCTTATAATCTTTTAATGGAAACCTAGATGTTTATGTATAAGATGCGGATTAAGCACGGAATGAGAAAATGAGGGCTTAGCGAGCGTAAAACGGAAAACCAGGAGAATGATGGCATAATACGTTTTTCTTACGACTCAGGATAATAAATAACGCACCAAAATCGCAGAAACTAACCACGTTTCAGTGAATCCTTTATATTCTTAATAAAGCCACATGTGATAATAATAATAATAATAACGCACACACTCAACATAGTCCCGTGTCAGGGAAACTCTGTGTCGCGGGTGACATGGACACAAAGCCAACCACAAATTACAGCCAAACTCGCAAGAGAAATAAATGTAGGCCATACAAATGTTTCTTCCGGCCCGGGAATCGAACCCGGGACCTCTGCGTGGCAGTTCGGCATGGTAACCGTCAGCCACGGAGGCAGTTAATCATATCTCAATAGTGATTTTATTACATGAAGAATTCTTTCAGGCAAGTAAGTATTGTCACCTTACGTATTCCAATGCCAAGTATTAATATGAGCATTGCTGCGTTCCAGCACAGATTACTTAATAGTTACTATGTAACAGATACATCACTCTCATACAAAATTGAAAATACCTACGCTATAATAGCCTATTAAATCTGAATAATGACACTATGCGCTCATTACGAGGAAAAAGGAACCTAAGCACGCGCCCAGAGAGATCAAAATAACGTTGCTCGTCGTGTGCAGTCGTGCGGAACCGAATGCGCAAGGATTGTACAAGGATTGTCATGTAAATGAAAGACTTGTTTTGAGACTTTGAAATTACAATTATTTAATTAGTGTTAGGTAATTATATTAAAATTTATTATTTTATGATTATAATAATATATAGATACATATTTTTTCCCTTCTCTAAATCTCGTAAATAATTTGAATATATAGGCAATTTTAATAATAATATAACCATCCATTGAACAATAATTACGCAATAGCGACTTTGCTACGATTTTTCTTACGAAACGTGCCGTGCGACCATTAAGATATGCCGGCGATACGCCGGCAGTGCAAGCGCTCACGACTGACGGAGCCCTGGTTCCGGTTTTGAAAAATAAGGGTTCTGGTAAAGTTAAAGGCACATGGGACTTGTCTACTTATGTCTTAAGGTGACGGGCGTATTGGAAGTGCCCGTCAGACCCATGCGGTATAAAGTTCT